AGGAATGTCACGCTTTGCATGGTGAGTTGAAGTATGGATGAATGGATAGATGTACTGACAGAGCAATTTCATGTCCATATAAACAGTGGTTAAAGTAGACATTTCTTCTGTGTAACAATTGTTTACAAGGTTATCATCTAGAAAGGTTAGTAAGATTAAAATAATAATAATAATAAAGTAAATTAATACTTTTATTCAGCAAGAACACATTAAAAATTATAATGAAGACATTATAATGTTACAAAACACTTCTATTTCAAATACATGTTCTTTTGCAGTTTATATTTATCAAAGAATAATGGAAAAAAAGTATCACCGTTTCCACAAAAATATGAAGCAGTTTCCAATTGTTAAAATGATGAGAATGTTTCTTGAGCACTAAATCAGCATATTAGAATGAATTCTGAGGAATCATGTGACTCTGAAGACTGGAGTAATGACTGCTGAAAATGTATATATTAAATATATTAAAATAAAGAACAGGTCTTTTAAATTGTAATACTATTTTAAAATATTACAGTTTAACTGTATTTTTGATGCAAGCTTGGTGAGCATAAGAGACGTCTTAACAAAAAATCATAAAAAAAAATCTCACTGATCCAAAACTTTTGAACAGTAGTGGAAGTGTCAAAAAAGTGTCACACCTGACCTGTCTCTTTGATGGCCCTAATCTCTGAAAACAGCACAGGGAGTGGTCCACACATTTGAGCTAATCAGAACACCAGCCAGTTACAAGTGCTCTCTACCTGTGATCATTTTGTGCATTCAGATTTGTTGACCCCGGGTTTGCTGACATGATGATTTTTGGGGGACATGATTTTGTAAAGGGCAGAAAAGTTAAGAAAAGTTTAATTTGTGAGTAAATGGCCATAATTCATGTACATTGAAAGTTTGAGCTGGCCGTTCTCCTGCAGTCTCTCTGTGTCTGATATCATGATCTTCTCAAGGACATAAGCCAGAAAGACTCATTTTTAAGCTGTCATATTTCTGACTGATAGCTCAATTGGAAGCATACATACACACACAAACTAACACCTTTATCTGCGAAGGACATCAACTCTGTAGTAAAGACGTGTATATCCAAGCATGGAAAATGGCGACCTTTGCAGCTGTATAGTACATCACGTATGAGTTCTGACCTGGATCAGAAGGCCAGTTCCAAGTGCAGTAATTATTCAAGTTTGCTGAGCTATTTATCCACTCATGGCTGAGCAGCCTGTCAAGAAACCCAGGGTTTATTGTTCTTTTTCTTCGCTCTGTTATTTCTGTCTTTATCACATAACAGCCTGTATCTTAGAGTATAATCAACCCGCATTTTATAAAATACACAGTTGAAAAGAAAGGGATGCTTATTTTTATGCTATTTTTAGTGCTGTGTGGTTTCATAATTGACTATGACCATGTGCTTTTCCTTGTGTTTTTTTCTTTTCAGAAATGTGAGGGGTGGGTGTTTGTGGTTAACCATTGTCTCAGTTAATTATTCAGAGCTGCTCACAGTAATGAGTTCAAACCCCAGATTGTAGCATGGTCCTTAACTTTAAGATATAGTTTGATTTACACTTACTGTTCAAAAGTTTGGGGTTGATAAGATTTTTTATTGTATTTGAAACAAGGCTGCATTTATTTGACCACAAATACAGTAATTTTGTGAAATATTATTACAATTTAAAATAACTGTATATGACAATTGTAAAATGTTATTTATTCCTGTGATGGCAAGTCTGAATTGTCAGCAGCCATCACTCCAGTCTTCAGTGTCACACGACCCTTCACAAATTATTCTAATATGATGATTTGGTGCCCAAGAAACATTTCTTATTATTATCAATGTTGAAAACAGCTAAATATTTTGTGAAAAATCATGATACATGTTTTTTTTCTGTAATGAATAGAAAGTAACTGCATTTATTTACTTATTTTTGGCTGTATAGAAAGCTCCTTTTATCAATATCCTAATCAGAATGGTTTGTTTGCATTGTTCAGAGGTCTTGTGTGAGTGAGGCGTAGTTTGGACAGTGAAGCCTGGTTTTATCCTGAATTTCTCTGCTTCTTTACAGCACACTTGTGCGGAGAGGGTTGGAGTCAGGTTGGGGATGCATGTCTGAGGCTGAACGCAAGTAAGGAGAGTTATGATAATGCCCAGCACTACTGTAAAAACCTGGACGGCAACATTTCCTCTCTGACCTCCGCCAGGCAGGTGGACTTCATACTGGATGAGCTGCAGAAGTATCAGCTGCAGGAGAAGGTGAGTCAAGCTCAGTCACTGTTGTTTGTGTGCTAGTTTACATTGATTTGTCTTGGTAATGGTTGGGTATTGATCTAGAACACAGTCAGCAGTTACCGTTTTTTCAGTATGTTGTATACTGATTAGTTATGTCACCATGTCAAAAATTCAGCAGTCAGTGCATTACCAGTGAAATTTCATGGTACTAGATACCGGTTTTGAAAGCAGTGACTGATTTTCTCCTTTTCTTTGACTTTAGTCGTTATTTTTTCATGAATGAAAACATGGCCTTTTTTAGTCTTTTACATTCAGTCATTAAGTATGCTATTTTACAAAACAACTTAAACATGAGGAACATCACAAGCAATTTATCATACAAGGATGAGCTAGAGTAATAATGCCGGTTTACATTCACTTAATACTTTGCCAAGACAGGCATTACAGAATGTAGAAAGACGTATATCGCTACTTTTTTTTTTTTTTTTTTAGCATTGGCTTGGTATTGAAATACCAGTATTTTTGTAAAGGCCCTTTCACACCAACTGCAGTGTGTAAAAGTAAAGGAATAATGCTGACAGCAAACTTTTTTTTGACTGACACAAGCTCTTCTGTCTGGGCGCCTGACTTGTTTACCTAAATTAGTTCTCGTTTTTAAGTATATTTGCCTTGCACTGCTCTGAAGCCCATTTTAAAGTGATTATTTAAACACCCTCAAATATCCCGACAGATATTATTTCTGTCCAAGTAAACAAACATTAGCATTTACAATTTATTTGGTAGGTTTCTGTGTGTCAAGTCCAGATGTAGTGCCAGATGTTTTGGGTGTAGGTTGGTTTCTAAATGTCAGTAAAGCTTAAACTTCAACTTTACACGTCAAAAAACCTTACTCATGCCTTCAGTAAAAAGCCATTCTGCACAAAATCTGTGGAGTCTCCCCGGTCCCGTGCTGTAAATATTTGTCATGTATTATTAAATGAATTAATAGGAAAGGAGTGACTCTCTCCGTAGTCCGCTCCCTCGCTTATTGCGGCGTGAGCCTCGGTGTTTAAACAGCTTTTGTCCTTTGAAGATTAACACAGTTTTCTAAAGGACCCACCTTTGATGTGAAAAAGATTTACATGCACCGGTTTCTCAGTTGCCACTATTTTTTGTCTTTGCTGTCACTCACACAGACAGTCACTCACTCCCTGTGGCTGCACACAGGAACTCTTTTAACCCTTTTAATCAAAGTACACAAGACCCTTTCATACAGAGAAGCTGTTAATTTGAATGGAAAATCTGAGAGGTTGGGGTATGTCAAATTTAGTTTGTTTTGCCTTGAATTGATAATTAAACTGTGCGTTGGCCTTTTGCCTTTCCTTAAAGAAGAGAGAAAAGAGAGACAGAAAGAAATGTGTATTTATAAGACCATAACACATCTTATGCACAGTAGACAGGCTTATTAGCCATCAAAATGTCAAGGTGCACTGAATTAATGCCCAGCAGGATAGTCTGTAATGTGGCAAAATCAGGTTCAAATTGAGTTCAAATAGCAGTTTATGAAGAAGAACTCTTCTGTTTTATTTCACTGAATTTATCACATCTGCAAATATGTCAGTCTGTTTATCGTTTTAACTTCAGATGTCTTTCTGTTCTTCACACTAATGTTCATAATCAGAGTATTTATGAACACAGGCCGATAGCAGCTTATTACACCTGTTAAAAGCGATTTTAATGCATTTAAACATGCTTTATGTTAGATATGTGGCACAGTCACATTTTAGTATCCAGCAAGTGGAAACAGATGAATGTATGTATGTATTTATTAGTAATAACATGTTCCTGCATTTGGTCGCAGCACATTTTCTAAAAAACACATTTAGTTTTTCAAATAATAGTAGCTGTTTTGTTTTGTTTTGTGGTTTCAAGAAATAAAAATGTTTGTCATTTTTTAATGCAAATTTTTAAATTCTGTTCATTCATTTGAGGCTTTTTACAAAATTACATTTTAAAATCAACCCAGAAATAATAATAATAAAAAATGCTATTCATAGAAGATGTCTATTTAAAGGTGTAATAGGTGATTGTCTTCAGAATTTTTTTTTGTTATGCTGGTTGAAAGTCTCTTCACATCCCGATAGCAATCATTAAGTTAAGTGGTCTAAATGTATTTATCTGTATATATATATATTCTGTGGAAGGCGTAGGACCAAGAAATGTTCGTCCAATCAAAACGCTCGGTCCGAGCATTTTAATTGGCTTTTCTACCTGCCTGTCAACGTATGTATTAGCATACCTCTGCGCACCCTGTTCGCGCAG